TTATATTGGAAGATGGAAGCATCAGCCAAAAGGATAGTGGTGGGTCAGAAAGCCGGGCAGAAAACAACAGAATGAAATTTAACATAGACAAGTGCAAGAAACATTCTTCATGTAGGAAAGGGGAACCAATTTTACGAGCATAGAATCGAGCGGCTACTTGCTTGTCAACAGTGTGCATTGAAAGGGTCTAGAAGTTGCCCTTGATTACAACTACGTATGAGTCAGCAATGGCGTGGAATGGAAAATTTTCCCCACTGTTTATGTCTGCATTTATCCATAGCTGTCCAGGCTGTTGCAGCCAACTGTATTAGATGGGCTAAATATAGCGGATGAACTTTGGGAGCGACTCTTCTAAGGCGAGCTTTGACGAACTCTACTGTTCCACTGACCGTGGGGGAACTGAATAAAAAGCTATGACAAAACCCTCCTGGACCAAACTTAGAGACGGTTTCTTTGTGATCCATTGCCAGCATTCTTCAGGAACAGACTGACGGGAGCCTGAAACTGAAACAAAGACAGTGATTACTGCTGGTATAGCTTAAGAAGAGAAAATCATATGAAGAGTCCTGTGGGATCAGAGCCGGGGTCCAGGAAATGGGCATTACATGAGCGAGTCGGCTAGTGCCAGAATCAGACTAGATGACCTGGGGATCCCTTCTGACTCCCTGTGTTTCTTCGTTTCTAAATCCAGCATTCTGTTCACACAGTGGCCAACCAGTTGCCCATTGGATCCCAAGTAGGACAGGAACACAGCAGCACTCCCATGCCCATGCTCCCCAGCCTGGGCTCGTGGCTGTACCTCCACCCTTCAAGGAAACAGGCAGTTCAGCTCCTGTTCTGAGTCAGATTTTTCTCAGCTTGAAATGGAGCCGAGAAGCAGCCTCGAGAGCAGTGACTCCGAAGTTGCCACCATTCCTCGGCAAACCAAACTGCAGCTGTTGATATAAGCTGATATATCAGCTTTCTTTGGGTATTGATCCTAAAAACTGTGTTCTTTCTGGCATGGTCTCTGTTTGCTAAATGTGAACAAACACCACAAGGAAGTATTTGCTGTCATCTTTACCTTTTGACAAATATTCTAATAAAACAGTGCCCGCATATATCTTTGAATATAACATTTAAACCCCATTGTGTGGTTAATTTAATTCCCCCCAAGCCAATATTTCAGTCCAAATATGTTGTGTCTTTGAGGAAAACCTTTGATATATTTATGCTGCAGATAAAATTGATATACATGACATTTTTTGTCCTGGTGACTAAATATACGTGACATTTTTTGTCCTGGTGACTAAATATGAGATATGGCGTGTGCTTATTGGGTGAGAATGTGGCCGGGTGGAAGCGGCAGAGAGTAAGATGGGAGTCAGGCAAACATGCTAAACTGGATTGCATTATTTAGCATGCTGGAAATTCTTCTGGAAATTTTTCCGGAAAACAACGTGCATCGTGAAAGCCAGCAGTGTGATATGGATCCAGAAAAGGCAAACGCCATTTTAGGTTGCGTCAACCAAAGCATAACTTCTAAACCACACGAAGTGAAAATTCCCCTTCACTGCAAAGACCCTGGTGCTGGGACCAATTGGCTGCAGAAGGAGAAGGGGGTGGCAGAGGACGAGGTGGCTGGGTGGGGTCCCTGGGGCAGTGGGGGCGGGCTTGGGGGGCCTCCGGGGGATGGTAGAGGACAGGGGAGCCTGGAGGAACGTTGTCCGTGGGGTCGTGGGGGTCGGGCACGACTTCGCGACTAAACAAAAAAGAGTTCGCTTCTATTCCATGCTGGTCAGAACTCACTTTGAGTGCAGCATCCAGTTCTGGACACCACACACTTAAGAAGGATTCGGATAAACTAGAAATCCAAACTCAGAGAAGGACAACAAAGATGACCGCGGACTAAAAAACTCAGTCCTGTGAGGAAGGGTTGAAGGAAGGCAGTATGTTTACTCTTGAGAAGAGACGGCTGGGTGGTGGCCCTTGTCAAGAATGTACAGGGTTGTGGCGGAAGAGTGCTGCAGGCTCTCCTTGGTCACCCAGCACCCTCGGACACGGACCGACGGGCTTACACGAGGGAAGCAGGTTTCACTGGACCTCAGGGAAGACTCCCGAGTGGCCGGCGCTGTCAGACTGAGGACTGGATTCCCTGGGGCAGTGGGGGATTCTCACCCGGCGGGTGGGGTGCTTGAACGTGGATTTTGGCAGTGTGCCGCGGAGTGGACCCGATGGCCTAAACGGCCCCTTCCGACTCTGTGATTCGGTGTTTGTCCCACTTCACAGCTGCTTTATGTTATTAAGAAGTGGATTTCTCTTGCATCAAACTTTCGCTGCCCGTCCTCCTTTATTTATTAACACGGCTCCCTAAGAACCACTCTCCTGGCGTCTCCTCATCTCAGGTTCAGCTTCCTTCCTTCCATTTATTATCTGTCTTCCTAATAAGATTAGTATTTATTTAAAGTTTTAAAAATTGATCTTAGACGTGTTCCAGAATAGTTGATTATTCTGGCTGAATCCCCCCCCTTCTCTTTATCCCGATGTAAATTAGGGGTATATGCAGAAGCCCCCAGGTTCCCGGTGGTGTAAAATTAGGAGGGGGTTTGGCTCTCCTGACATACGAGTGGGCCAAGGCGTCTCCCTTCTCTTTACCTTTGATGGAATATTCATAAAACTCCCCTGGCCCCTCGTGTAAAGAATATGGATTTTGTCACGTGCTTGGAGAGCAAGAGAGAGATGCTGAAATAAGGTCAAATTAAGCCAGATCCTGTAAGGACACGAAGGCTTGGTTTTGCCGAAGAGCAGGCTGCTTCTCTATTAACGTTCTCTCAGGAGACGGACTCGGTTTTTAAGAGTGCTAATGATGCTGCCTCCCCAGAGGAGCCCAAATGATTGCCAAGAGCTGGCTGAGAATAGTCCTGTGTCAAGGTTTCCTCTCTAAGAACAGAGTTGCTGATGGCGGGGGAGACTTGCGACCGGCTCTGGAAGCACTTCCTAGAATATGTGGCTGGCTGTAGCTGTCCCCTGGCAAGGAGAAGGCACTTTGCACGTGTTCAGAGGCATGCTGGATGCAGCCTTGCCAGGCGAACTTTGGGACAAAAGTCCTGGTGGTTCTGTCCTCGAGCCAAGTCCTGCCCATGAGCAAGTTTACTGCGGGGAGTGGGTTTGTAATGTTCACTCTCTGTGCTTTGACTTTCCCCCTTCTCTAGGGAAAGCAGATTAAAGCATCCGTGTTTATGATGCAAGACAAACAGAGCAGGATGAAGTGGCCAAATGGGCAGGGATCGTTTGCGTCTGGTGGTTGTAAGTGCAGAAGACCTCTTTGCCCTGATATCCAGGCGGGGATGACCGTGCAACATCCGTCCTCTGCTCGCACGACCCTGCCTGTCTTCCGAAGAGCAGCACCGGGCAACACCGGCTGCCCGCTGCCCTGTGTGCTCTGTGGAACGTTGAATATATTCTCCTCCTTGACCAGCCACACTCCCAGTCCCCATGCACACAAATCCCCCCAAGTCCTTCCCATTCCCCCGGCTTCTTGCCATTCTCAGCCCCTCTAGCTTTGCTGAGACATCCCCCTGGCTGCATCTCCGTGATAAAGTCCCAGGCCCCACCGCCAGGGAATGGGAAAGGCCTCTTCCTGAGACCCCAGGAGCTGCCGCCAGCCAGTGCGGGCAAGATTCTGCTTAGGGAGCCAGCGGTTTATCTCAGTGGCTTCCTAAGCCGGCCTCAAGGGTGGGTGTCTCAGAAACCCCAGCCCGGGCATGTGATCCTGGATTTGGGCACATGCTTATCGGGGGGTGCTCCCAGAAATCCCCCCGCGCGCTTTCTTGAGAAGAGGGCTCGTCCGTGCTGCTTTTCCACCTTTCCTGATGTCGTCTTAAGTGAGGAGCGGCCAAACAATGCCCGGCTTTGCCATTTGCTTGCTGTCAGGGGAGATGCAGGATGTCCTTTCTGTATGTGGCAGGCATGAATCTGATGGTGCACAAGCAAGGGACGCAGGCTGCAACGTGGGGTGGATTCTTGTCGCATTTGAGAGATTTGCAGCAGACACCTGGCCGCTTACCCCTCCCCGGGCTGCTCTGGCTAGGAAAATACGACAGTTCCATTTCTGGTCGCAAATCACCCTGTTCCCAATCCTGGACATGAACATGAACAGAGTCCAGGAGTTTGCAGAGTCCCTAACTTGCATTTGCCTCTGCAAAGCCCGCACTTTAGAAATGCACAGCTTTCTCAAAATGCGCCAGTTTTCCTATATAAATGAACCCCCAGACGGATTGCAGACAAGAACAAACTGAACTGAACTTTGATAGAATGTTCAGAGAGTTCCCTTCCTGACCTCCCATCTCCCGTTTTGGGAACAGTTGCGCAAGTCAAAAGCCCAAAATTGGTGGGTGTGATGGTCCCTTCAGAGGCCAGGCATTCATTGTAGGACGGCTGATGCAAGCAGCAATCCTGGAGAACCGGTCGGATGAATCCAAATCTAGCTTCCACGGTTTGCACACGGTGGCAAAATATTTTATGTTCTGCTGCTGCTGCTATGTTTTTTAATCGCTAGATATTGATCTAAACTAAATTTTAATACATCATGGATTTTTTGGAGTTTTTATATATGTATGCATTCTAGTTATCTGTTCTATTTTGTTTATTTTGGCTTTATTTACATTTGTATTTGATAGTTTTTGTATGGGTTTTAGTGTGATTGGTCTTTTGTAATTGTGAGTTGTCATGTGGCACTTTGTATTGTCTCTATGCTGCTTATGGATTTTAACTGCCCAGAGAGCGTATAAAGTCGACTCAAACAAACAAACAAATAACATGTGCAGGATTTTTGCCCACCTTTGTTTTCGATATGGCGAGCTCTTTGGCCCTTCTTTGGACGAGACAAGTTTGCTGCTTAGTCAGGGACCGAGTGCAGAGCAGTTGTCATTCCCTTTCACGACGGAGCCGGGGAAGTGTGTCTTTCTGCTCGAGGGATAAAACGAGGCTCAGCGGGGTGAGCTCCACGCCTTTCCTTCCAGGCTGCGACAGCGACCACTGGGGGCCGCACTGCAGCAACCGCTGCCAGTGCCAGAACGACGCCCTCTGCAACCCCATCACGGGCGCCTGCGTGTGCGCCACCGGGTACAAGGGGTGGCGCTGCGAGGACCTGTGCGACCCGGGAAGCTACGGGAAGGGCTGCCAGCTGAAGTGCCGCTGTGACAACGGGGCCACCTGTGACCATAGGACGGGGGAGTGCCGATGCGCGCCTGGATACACGGGTGTCTTGTAAGTGGAATGATGGCGTGCAGCTGCCGCTGCCCTTTCGTCGGCTTCTCTGAATATCAGAGTGCTTTGAAACGCACCGCTTGGATTCCCTGCTCTGCCTCCCCCAACCTTGTGCCTTCCAGGCGCGCTTGGACCACAGCTCCCAGAATTCCCCTCCTGCAGGGCCACTGAGTGGGAATTCTGGGTGCTGCCGTCCAAACGTGTCTGGAAGGCACACAGCTGGGGCAGGCTCTCCTCTCTAGAATAGGGTTAGGCGGCACAAGCTGCGAGCCACTGGATGTCCGCTCACCATGTTAGTATGACTGATTGATTGATTGACTGATTACATCCACTTAAAGGCTCCCCATTAGCATCATGCTCTCTGGGCAGCCATTGCAATGAAATGGCCTGTAGTTAACATAAAGAAAATACTACAATTAAAATATACAAGATAAAATAACACATCAATAATCAACAACCATGGAAATTAAGTTAATAAATTAAAACCAGTGCAAATTGATGTAAAAATAATCCAAGCGGTGCCATAAGTGCTCCTGAACAGAAACATTTTTGCCAGACTGCCAAGTAGCCAAGGTGCCAACACAGAAAAGGCCCTGCTCCCTGCAACCTCCCCCTTAAGCACCTTAGTGGGAGGGCCTTTGCTGATGGCCTGAAACAATGGGCAGGGTTAGAGGGAATAGGGCTCCCTAAGACGGGGGCCCAAGCCATTGAGGGGATGCACCAGGGGGGTGCCTGCTTCCTTGTCTGCGCATGGTGGGCCCGTTGAGGAACGGCTAACGGCTGTCGAAGGACCTGCTGTCCCACTGGAAGATTTTACTGTGCGGCAGCACATGTTGGAAGTGAACTACCGCTTGTGTTCTCCTTTCCTCAGCTTTGCCCCTCCAGAGGGAACCTCTTGAGGCTTCTCTGCGGAGGAAACACACGCTTCAGAGGGCGTGTGGGAAAGGTGGATTGCATGTGAGAGAGGGCCAGAAGTTCACACCACCCCCAGCCACTTCCCCGTGTGCCAGTGTCAGTTACTGGAGCTCTGTTGGTCCAGATTATTAACCGAAAAATATGGGGACAGTTGAAATCGTCCCCGGTCTCGGGCTCTGTCCACGTCCACTGCCTTCCCCCAGCCCGGCTCTCCTCAGCCAGACTCTCTCCGCTCACTGATGGCTCGCAGGCCCCTCTTTTGACCCAGCTCACTGCCACCTGGTCCTGATAGGTCTGTGGCCCTGCTGGTCCGTTCCAGACCATCACTCCAGCGCCCGAGTCCAGCACTTTCAGGGCCGGCCAAGCTTCCAGACTGGAAAAAGTGCTGGACGGGGGGATTCAGCGCACCACTTCCCCACTTCCACCCACGTCACCGCTCCACAGTTTGTCTCCAAAGAAGATTTGAGCATGAGAAATAGTCCCCCAGGAGGTGCTTTGAACTCCCACGAACCAGAAGCAATTGTCTTTACGAATAAGGATCTCTTAACACAGTCAAAGAGTTTGAGACAAAGGCAACTTTGTTTAGAGCAATAAATATTGGATAAGCTACATTTTACCATCGACGAGGTCGATAGGAATTCACTGTGTGCTTGATGATCTGTGTGAGCGTCACTGCAGCGGTGCGATCAGGGTCCTTCCCTGGCATAAATTCTTTTTGTGTCTCCTTGTGTCTCCTTCTGATTTCCACCCACCTGCCGCCTTCCACCATGCCGGTAAAGCTGCGAGGAGCACTGCCCCCCAGGCAGCCACGGAGCGCAGTGTGAACAGCGGTGCCCGTGCCAGAACGGAGGAACCTGCCACCACGTCACCGGAGAATGTGCCTGCCCCGCGGGATGGATGGTAGGTCACAGCGCGGCAAAGCACTGCTCTGCGGCCGTTGCCACCACGGCGCACGCTTTGGCCCGCAGGAGCTCGGCGGCTTCGCGCGTCGTGCGACCGCACGCCACCCGCAGGAGCGCGCGAGAGCCCGGGCAGGCCTCCCAGCGCACGTGCGGCCGCACGGGAGGGTCTGCTGTGCTCCAGCGTGGGCTCGTGGTTTGCGTGGCCCTCGAGGCCTGGCCGCTGGTTTGGGGCCGCTGGCCCCGGCTCTAGGACTTGCCCCCGGATGCTCTGCTGTGCACGCAGAGTCCCCGGGCCTGGGGCCTGCTGCATGATGGGCTGGAGCTGAGGATCCGAGGGCCAGAGGCTGAAGGGTCCGTTCTGGAGAGGTTGTGCCAGGCAAACGGAGAGCATGGGCAGAAGGGAGGTGTGTGTCAAAAAACCTGGTGGAGCCTGGGGGGGGGGGGGGCACGTCCGACGCCCAGCCAGGCCTGTTGTGCCATTGCTCAGGCAGGTCGCTCGGGATAGAGGACGCGGGAGTTGTGTGCGGCCGCCCAGGGTGCTTCTGCAGTGGTGCAGAATTGCGGGCGTAAGCGGCTAAATCTGGTCCCGCAAGCGTCCCAAACCGCTCCCCAGGAGGCTGGGCCACCTCCGAGCAGCCACCGACCCTTTGGCGGCTTCCTAGCTTTGTGCCGTTTCCCCCCTTTCTAAAGGACCAGCCTAACTGTCCTAAGGTGTAGTTACTTGGAAAAAGCCTTTCGCACTGCGGTGGGCTGCTTTGGGGGGGATTTGGGCCTTGCTCCTTTTGCTTTCAGGCTCTGTCCCACTGGAAACCTCCTGCAAGCCCCAGCATTCCCACAGCTTGGAGGGGCAGATCTGTCGTTTGAGTCCAATGCTTAGGACTGCAGCCTAAAGCAATCTTTAGTTCCGTTAGTGAGTGAATGCAGCGAATGCAGCCGTCAGTGGGTAGAAGACGGGATTTGGACCAGGGAGGTCAGTCTCCCCTCCGTTAGAAACTCTCAATTTCTTAGCCTAATTAAAAATGCAGGACTGGGGAAGAATATCTGCTCCCCTGAGTACTTTAGAGGAAGAATGAGATTTCTATGCAATAGACAAAAATAAATGGTATCCCAAGTCATAGAAGTGGAGTTAGAAAGCATTGTAATTGGGAGAACCAAGGGAGTGTTTGTATGGTGTCAGGAGGGTGTCTGATGGAGGTCAATGCAATTTTTTTCAGCCTGGACATAATCTCACTGATTTCCGGCAGAATTTCAGTAGGGTTAAGAGGGTTAAGAGGTTGTTTTGCAGGCGGTGGGTTATTGAAGGAAGAAAGCATAAGCTCTTCTTTTAGAAAAATCTAAATCTGTTTCAATAATATGATAATTAACTCCCTCTGGATTGGCCAAGGCTTCATTTGGGTGCATTCTATCCTCTGGCATCATTCCATCATTTTGACAATTAGTCCGTTGGCAGGTTCCACTGCTGTAATATGGCAGAGAGAGACAGAGAGGTTGATTCATTCTTGGGATTCTTTTTTGTCGTTCTTCATACCTTGGACGACCATGAAAGCAATTGGAAACTGCCGGTGGTGGCGGGCGGAAGGGGCCACATGCTGAAACCCTCTTGGGAGACTGGAGGGGGCATTGTGGCAGGAATGGGCCCAGGTGGATTCCTAGGAAGAGCGCTCCAGCACCACCCAGGCTGAAGAGTGTGCACCGGAGTTCTCCCGGCCCCCAAGTGGCACAGTGCCGAATCGTGTCTGTTTGGTGGATGGAAGGAAGAAGCCAGCCGGGCAGCTCTTTGTGCTTTGGACAGGACTCGGGGAGGTGCAGGGTGCGGATCCTGCCCTGGGGCATTCTGCCTGCTGGCTGAGCTTTCTTCCTGGCCTGCCCCCCTGGGGGATTTGGGGGAGAGGATGGAGTCCAAGGACCTCTCAGCACGGACTGCTTTCCCTCCACGGTGGGGGTGCAAGAACGCCACTGCCGCGCCACTGGCCTCGACGCCTCCTCCCGCCAGACCCTGTGACGGGATCCAGCACTGGGGAGCAGGGAGGCCAGTCGCTCTCGCCTCCCCAAGTCGGTCCGGCTGCGGCTTAAACACTACCGTCCTGCCAGGACGGAGTGCTGGCACACCCTACCCGTTCTGCACCCGGCGTCGTTCTGCACGGGGACGGCAGACGCCCCGCCCCCTCTGCTTGCCGGCTGGAAGGCAAGATGAGTCGCTTGCCAGCCCTGGTACACCCAGCAGCTGCCTTCTGTCCACCGCAAGCTCTGCTGTTACCAGGCAGAGATGGAGGCGTGTGGGGGCAGTGGGCTCCCCCCACCCTGCAAGGCCTCCTTGCAGGCACTAGTGGTCCAGAGCGAGGCCCGCTGGCTGGCCTCCCTTCAGCGCCATGCCCCCCAGCAGCCTTGGTGTGGCCGGGCTGCAGGCGGCGCCCGCGAGTCCTTCCCCACACGTGTCCACGGCGCCACTTCTCCAGGGGACACGTGGTGAAGCTGATGTTCTACTTCAGCCTGCAGTTTTGGGGTTTTCCTTTCCAGGGAGCTGCGCAAAGATGGAAAACACTTGGGAAGAGGCCCTGAAAGTGTTTTTCTCAGGCTCCATTCTTAAATTTTGGAAGAATTAGAGACATGTTGCATCCAGAAGTACCAAACACCCAAAGTGCCAGAAACGTGTGCATAGATGAGACCCCTTGACGCATCCAGCTTTTGGCTGCTTCTTTGCCCTGTGTGGTCCAGACTTTCATACCCTCCACACTGGAAGTCTCTGCCCCCAACTTGCTAAGGGCATCTTGCTGACCCCTGAGCTCCGAGTTGCCCCTTGGCTCAGGGTCTGAACTTGAGGAGATTCATGTCCTCGTACATTTATTGATGGCTTTTATTCAAAAGCTGAAAATATTCAGGGAAGCCTGGAGAACAGAATTCAAATATATAAACATTTTTAATAAGACATTTTATTCAAAATAACCCTAAAACAAAGGAAAACTAAAAACAACATCAATCATCAGAAACATCGGACCTGCTGGGTCAGCCCCCACATTTTTTTTCTATTTATGGTAACTTAAAAACATATTTAAATCTATATGAAGTCCTGTTTCTCTAGCCAAAAATAAAAAGAGTCCCAAGTTTGATAGAAATCAGTATCTTCTTTCTCCTTCAATGACAAAGTCAATCTGTCCATTTCTGCACAGTCCAAGATCTTTTTTAGGATCAGTTCGTCGGTGGGTGGCTCTTCACTTTTCCAGTGTTGAGCAAATGCAATCCTCGCCACAGTGATTACATGTAAGATCAAGTACATTTCTTGTTTACTAATATCAACAGGTATAATGCCTAATAAGAAAACATCAGGTTTAAAAGCTAAGGATTTTTGTAACATTTCCTCAAGCCATTAATGTATTTTAATCCAATACTTTTTCGCATTATCGCAAGTCCACTGCATATGATAGAAAGTACCCAATTTATGTTTACATTTCCAACATCCATTTGACATATTTGGAAACATCTTAGCTAATCTATTTGGTGACAGATACCATCTATAAAACATTTTATACAGGCTTTCTTTATATGAAGTTGCTAATGTTACCTTAATATTTCTCTCCCACCGCTTTTGCCATTTTTTCTAATTCAATATTATATCCAAAGTTTTGGGCCCACGTTATCATGGTTTCCTTAACCTGTTCATCTTCCATTCTCCTATCTAGTAAGAAATTATATAGTCTTTTAATCATTTTCTCATCTGATTTAAGCATCGCCTGATCAAATGCTGTTAAATCTTTATAAAAGCCCCACATTCTATAGTCTTCAGCATATCTTGATTGTATCTGCACCTTATGCCACCAAGAAATATTAGATCCTTGTTCTTGTATTTCTTGATTCAGTTTCAATCCTCCATCATTATCCAAAATGTCATATCTTACGATCCCTTCAGAGTTCAATGCATTTGGGTATACAAGAGCTTCTATAGGTGAAAGCCATCTTGGTAATTTATTATACAATTTTGTCTTTAACTTTTCCCACACCGACATTAATGATTTCCTAATATAATGACTTAAAAAAGAGCCATGTACCTTAGCCTTTTTATACCACATATAAGCATGCCAACCCATTTGTAAATCATGCCCTTCAAGATACAAGATTCTCTTATTTCTTAAAGTTATCCATTCTTTTAGCCACGTTAAAACAGAAGCTTGGTAATACAGCATCCAATCAGGGAGACCAAAGCCCCCATTCTCTTTAGCCTCCTGAAGTATTTTTAGTTTAATCCTTGGTTTCTTCTTTCTCCATATAAATCTTGAGATTTGAAAATTCAAATCATCAAAAAATTTTCTATCAATTTTTATGGGAATCATTTGGGATAGAAACAAAAGCTTTGGTAATATATTCATTCTAGCTAGTGCTAGTCTTCCCAGCAAGGAGAATCGCAAATTAGCCCATTTTTCCAAATCACTCTTAATATCCTTAAATAGTTTATCATAATTGTCTTCTTTCAGAGTGGTACACTGAGATATAAGATAAATTCCCAAATATTTAACCTTTTTAACAAACTGAAGGTCTACTTGTTCCACCAGAGTTTTTCCTCTGCTCTGGTGTGAAATATATAAACAAATTAAGCAACAGTGAAACAATAATTAAAGATACGAACGAGGAGGAAAAGAGATGATGCAGATAACATAATGTACATGATGAGAAGCAGCCATCATTCCCAACCCTCCTGAAAAATGGCCTCCCCCCTTCCCTCCCCGTGCCTTTTTCCTGGAACCTCCTCCAGGAGCCTTTTTAGGGCTCAGCAGGAACAATCAATCAGTCGATCAATCAGTCAACTGTCAAAGGCCTGGGAAACACAAGTGGATTTGCCTGGCACCTAGAAAAATAGCTAGGCAGATTTCAGAAGCAGGGCAAGCATCGCGCCCCAAAACCGCCTTGGTGCAATCACCGTCTCTGCTCAGGACGTGCCTACCATCCAACAGAGAGGTAATCAAAATACGCAGCAGCATTTAACAAAGCACAGAGTGGGGAAAGGTGCACTGCATTTCTCAGCACAAGTGTGACATACAGCCAGGATTCCTGAACTGCAAAGTACAAAAGGCAGCTCAGGCAGCGCTCCTGCGTCAGCCAGACCAGCGCACCTCAGCGTGTGAGAAAGCACCGTGGCCTGTGGACCAGATGGGGCAGCTTGTCCACGCACGATGATTCACCAAACCATGAGCTGCAGCACCGTGGCTGGACCAGGCCGCATTGCTCTAGCAACACAACCACAACGGGCCTTTTGCTTCAGGGTTCGTGGAGCACTGCAGGCCAGGGAACAAGCGTGGAAGGGTTACGAATTCTCTTCTGCCCCGGTGGTGGAGCCTGCCGTGCTGATGCTTTCTGGAAGGAGTGGAGAGGCGGCGTTCTAAGGGCCTGGGAGACTTCTTAAACGTTGCCTGTTGGTTCCCTGGGAACAACTCTGCAGTTAACAATGCCTGCTTCTGAACTAAGCTAGGTTTGGGCGGAAGAAAGAATAAATGCTAGACCGAGACAGTCCAGGGGCTCTGGGGAAGAAGAAGCTGCGAGGAGAAGCCCTCCACTTGTAAATGTTGGGATTTTTAAGTTTAAAGGGCCTCTCCAGGGCTTTCATAAAAGAGAAGGAAAATTCTGCACAACTACAAAGTGTGTGAAAGTTTTTCTTCTTTTGCGGGGATTTTTAACACTTGGCATTTAGAGGGATTTCTGGCAGGTGGAAACAACCGGATACTGTGCTCTGCGGAATATCAATCACTGCTTGCACATTCCGCGTGCTTTGAGGGGAAGGGGCACAATTATAATGTACTCTACATGCAGTCATTCCTCAGAGTCGCTCATAATTTGGGGTTCATTACTATCCATCCATCCCAGCTTGATTTCACCAAGGCATGCAGAACTGCTCTTCTCCTGTGATGCTTTCTTTCCTTCTCTGGGGTGCGTGAGATAAAACTCAGATCTGCCAAGAGATTGTCTCCCAGGAATCAAGCTCCCGGTTGAATCAATCTCGCTCTCTGTCTCTGTCTCCCTCCCTGCACTTCAGTCTCCTTGTTTTAAAGGTAGCATAGCTCCTATTTTCAGTGTGGCTTCTCCTTTGTAGAAGGGAAAATCTAGCAAGCAAATCACACTAGTGGCCAGAATAATCTGCTGGAATGGTAAAAATGGCAGTGGAGGAGATATTTTCTAAGGTGAGACAAACCCCAGCTAGGTCAGAGCCAGGATAACAGAGCAAGTGAATCGGGGACATTCTTTTGTTAGTAGCTCCTGGCCCCTTCCACATTTATTATTTATTTAAAGTTTTTATATCCCGCCCTTCACAGTGTCTCAGGGCGGTAGAAACTTCTGGTTAGAAACTCTCCAGATTCAAAGAACAACCCAGCACAGAGCAGTGGAGAAACTGTTTTGCAATTATGAAGCCCTCCTGCAAACACACTGGTGTTGTTACTTAACATCACTTGTAGGTCCAACACTTCCTGAAACCATTGTGGGTCCCTCCCAGGCCAAGTCACGCGGGGCTGCCCAAAAATTGGCTGGGGTCCCAGAGACCCTCGTCTCCATGACTTCAGTGCCAGGCTGCTGGGGTTTCATCCCACACACAATCCGCCTGAACATTACCGCAGCGTGTCGTCGCATGGTTCATGTTTGGAGCAGCATCCACCTCTTTGGCTGTATTCACCGACACTCACGCAGACAGGAATCTCTCCCTGCTCCGTCCGCTCCTGCATCTTCACCATGCGTCACACGGGAGAATGTTTGCAGAGGGTGAATGGATCCACCCATAGGCTCAGTTGTTTATTCAAGATCGCATGAGTCCTGGGTCTTTGCTGTGCATTCTGTGGAGTGGACAGACTCGGACCATCTTTTTTCTTGAAAGGCAGGGGAGAGAACTGCCTTTTCATTTGCTTTAGTGGGCAGCAATTAATAACACTGGGAAAGGGCATCAAAGGGGGGGGGCAGTCTGAGAAAGCTGCTGATGGAAGGAACTCTGTTGATGAGATGCATAAAACTGCTTGCAACTCTGCTCTGACATTTGATCCCCTGGAGATGGGAATTTTGTATTCCCTTAACATACATTTGTACCTAAAGATTCACACCACTCCTAAGGAAAGCATTTTGGAGCATCGCATTTTCATCATTTGCTGATAGAAATCCTGTCCTTCTGTGATACATGATGGGAAAATCCATTTGCTGTCGTGATGAATCTCTCTTGCCTTCCCAGAGAGGGAAAGATACCAAACATGACTTCTTGCTCAAGCCTCAAAACATGCTGCCATAACAGACCGAGCTCGCGAAGTGAAGTGAGACCGAGCTGCCTCTTTCACAGCTAGGAAGCCACCAATGCTTAGGAAAGGCTTTTACTGTCCTTTTGGATGCTTGCAGAAAGCTTCTCTATTCCATTTTGGGCCACTGGTATTCCTTCCTGGCCAATAAACAAAGGTTTTGCGTCCCATTTTGGGCTGTTTATATTACTGGAACTTCTTGCTCAGCAAATGCATGTTTGAGCTGTGTTCTATTTGGCTTGAGATCTATTCAATAGGTATTTCCCCCCTAAAATATTTCCTGATGTATGTCTTGGGGGCGGGCAGCTCTCACTTTAGGTTCCTCTCATTATTCCAGCCATAAGTTCCTTTCACCCCAAACTTGGATGGGGTTTTTAAAGTTTGTATGAAAATTCATCAGCAGTACTTTGTGCTTTATTGCTAATGCCTACACTTTTGCACACATACTGGTTCGAAGATGTGAAATTAAGGAAGCTTGCATTGAAAAGCAGACCACACAGATTTCTTCTCCATTCCTGTCCCAAGCTAAGCAAAAGTCAGTTTGCAAAACCTGCTTTTTCAATATCAGGGCTTCAAACTGGTACATGTGAAATGCCAGTGTTGTCTAGTGGGTAGAGCATTAGACAGGGGTTGGGAGATCCGGGTTCAAGTCCATGAAATGCACTGGGTAACTTTGGGCTAGTCACTGCCTTTTAGCCTAAGTGACCGTACAGGGCTCTGGTGAGGATAAATGAAGAGGAGGAATATCTCAGCTGTCCTGGGTTCATTGCTGGATATAAAAGTAATCAGTCAAATGATAAAATGAGGAATGAGCCAGAGAAACCGGATACTTGCTTTGATCCAAAGCAAAGTGTCTTTGACGACAGGGTCCCACACATTTGCATGGAATGGCGACATGATTTGCAGCATTTCCAAGCAGGATTGAGGTTGGCAGGAAAAACTGGACAGGAAGTCCTGCCAAAAGCAGACTCTGCCTTGATTAACTCCGTGCCGCTCTCAGTCCCAGAACCTTTTGTGCAGTTCCAGAAAACACCGATTGTTTTTGCAGAATTTACGGGTTTCAGGCTGTCATGAAAAATACTAGCGTTATGCAGGTTTATGCAAGAAGATGCATGCTGAAGTGGACATCTACTAGGTAAAACTGCGGGGGGGGGGGGATGAAAACTGGAGGAAAAGACAAAAACGCTGAATGGATTACTCATCAGCCATGCTTGGCTTGCACACCTAAGAAATGGAAGAGCTTTTCCAAGCATTAAGTTGTAGGGGAAATGAAGTGGAGCCAAAACATACAATGGATAGGCGCCACTTTTTGTGAAGCCCACCTGGCCTCGCGTGCTGCTCCCAGTGGCGTCCAGCAGATCCTCCTGGGTGCTTAGACTCGGGGGCACGAAGACTGCAGCCTCCTCGACCCGCAGCAACCGATATTCAGAGGCCTCTTGCCTCTTTCCTGACCCAGCCACGGACAGTCCGGATGCAGCCTGGAGCTGCATCGCCCCAGCCCAGTCGGGCTGATTCCTGGTTCACTTCAGGCAGCCTTCCCAGCCTTCCAAACACATTTGGACCACGCCACCCGGAGTTGCCCGTCAGTGGCCCTGCTGGAGGGGAACTCTGGGAGTTGCGGTCCAAATGCCTCTGGAGGCCACCAGATCAGAGAAGGCTGGCTTAGAGCTGCCCCTCATCCATCCACCCTTCCCTCTCTTGCTCGCTCGCTCGCACACTCAAGTGCCAGTCCTGCTTCCAAGAGAGTGGTTCTTTGCCCTGCAGGATGCCCCGATTCCCCCTTCCCAGGGCTTAGAGGGCGCACTTCAGCCTCGCCAACTGCCCTTCAGCCGACCTTGGAGAGGGCAAAAAGGGGGTGTTCCGGCAGGCGAGGCGGGAGCAGCCCGCGAGTGCCGGGCACCCCTTCCCTTCCCTTGCCTTGCCTTGCCCCTCTTCCAGCTCCCCGCCTCCGCTCTGGAGCTGAAGCGCCTCAGCAGCGAGAGCAGAGCAGAGCTGCGTGCGGGGAGGCGAAGCGATCCACCACGCTGCAGCCTTCGGCTGGCAGGGCGCAGGAGCCCCGGAAGCCTCTTTGCAGCAAGGGCAGATGCTGCTGCCCTACAGGCAGTTTCCCCCACATCTGCCCACTTGTATGCTTGCCCTCCCGGGCATCTCCCGAGCACGGAAAAGCGCCTGCTGGGCCCCTTTTGCGTGCAAGCCCACGAGCACGAGCCACGTGGCTCCCCTGCCGGACTGCCGGATAACGGAAGGGCGCTTTCTGTGGCCTCTGAACGGCTCCTGCCCGCCTTTGCCCTTGAGGATTCGAAAGTGACCGCGCGCTCTCTTCCTCCCGCACAGGGCTTCGTGTGTGCCCAGCCGTGTCCCGCGGGAACCTTCGGGGTCAACTGCAGCCAGGACTGCCCGTGCCACAACGGAGGGCAGTGCGATCACGTGACGGGGGCCTGCCTGTGCACGGCGGGCTACGTAGGAGACAGGTAGGTCTAGCGGTGCCCCGGGGCGATCCCTCCCGCCCGTCCCGCACAGCGGGGCTCCTCGCCCGCTCCCGCCCGTCTTTCGCGCCATGGCCCTGGTGCTCCGTGCCGGACGACCTCTTTGCCAGGGGTCCTTTCGCCACCCTGGGGAGCGCTCGCAACGCTCAGAGCAAAGCTGCAGTGGACGCAGAGAACGACAGACGGGAGTCGCGAGCCTTCCTCGGCTGAAGGCCAGTAGCAATGTTTTTATCCGCGGGGCGTAGCTCCAGCTTTTGAATTTTAAGCGGACCGCAATAGAAGAGCTTCCTGGCTGGATGGTCCGTGAGTGTGCACGCAGACAGGCCAACAGGTACATGTGTGAATGGGGGGGGGGTGGTATCCAGTGCAGCTGCTTTCCTTATGCCCTCGACATAAATTTGGCACAAATGACCTACAATGCCATGCCGGTATCATAAGCAGGTGCAACAAGCTTTGGGGAAAATGCAGTGCACTGCCTTGTGCATGAGGCTGTGGGGCTTGTGGCAGCCGCACATCAGTGGCTGAAGCAGAGTGGCCCTCCTGGATGCTGCCGGCACGGTGGTTATTCTGTCGTGTATTGTCTATTGAATATATATGAAGGCCACCCATTGGCACTATGCTCTCCGGGCAGCCATTCCAGTAAAAAAGTCAATAATAACATTAATCAAATAATGCCATTAAAATATTATGATAAATAAACAAAAGAAAACACAATACAGACCACCAGGCAAACAATAATTTAATAAAATTGATCAATGAGATTAAAATTAAAACCAGCACCGTCAATATAAATAGTTTAAGTGGTGCCATAGGTGCATCTGAAGAGAAATGTCTTTGCCCAGCTCCTAAAACAAAATAAAGGCGGCGCCTGACGACTCTCCAGTGGCAAAACGTTCCACAATTGGGGTGCCACCACAGAAAAGGCCCTGCTCTTCACCACTCCCTGGGTAGGAGAACCTGCAGGAGGCCGTCCGTTGATTACCTCCAGCAGCAGGCAGGAGAGTGTGGAGGAAGGCACGCCCTAAGCGAGTGTGGCTGCGAGCCATTCGGGGCGTTATGTGTACATTGACGCGCACATGCACACAATTTTCTTCCATGAAATATCAATCTCTGTAGCTTGGCATAGTTTTAATTCTTTTTGTTGCATTGTTTTAGATATCTTTCTAATATAGGATGTCCAGTCCTTTTGTTTTGGGTTATCCCAACTGGAAGACAAAAATCCTTGGGTCTCATGACTGGTCACCAGCCAGACCAACCCTGAAACCTTTTCAGTGTATTCTGGTACCACATCAATCTTATTGAAATTACAAATATTTTGAGAGCAGGGGGAGAGAGAGAGAATATTCTAATACTTCTTTTGGCAATGGTTTCCCATTTTTATTATTTCTTAGGTTAATTTTTAAATGTACCTTCTAAAGCATAATGGATTAAATTTAATTTAATTTAGATATTTGCAGCAATAAATTTAATGGGGAGCACTCCATGTTTACAAGATATGCAAATGAAACACATTTATACCAATTAATCCCCTTCAGAGGCAAGCACTTCATTTCAGTATTTCTGCTTCCCTGCTCGGCATTTCTAGATAGGGGGAGGGAATAGGGCAATAAAAGTGCTTCATAGACCTGCATGGTATATTTCTACAGACTGGTGTCGACCTTCCTTGAACACAAGCGCAATACTTAAATGCTGTTGTTACCCCACCTTTGAAAAGCTACAAATCTCAAGAAAGTCCCCAAGTGGCAGTGAAAATTGTTAAGGAAACGGGGGCTTCTTTTTTCAGAGAAAAGCAGAAACTGATCCTGCTTTCTTCCCACCAATTCTACTGCTTTCTGGCAAAATGGCACCAGCAGAAAATTCCGATCCAGGGTTGGAAACCTCCTCACTGCTCCCAGGATCTCAGAGCAAACACTGTGTTTGATGGGTTCTTGGGAAGATATCCCGGTTCCCAACATCCCAAGCTACTGAGATATCCCAGCAGGGAAGACATCACAGTTCTTCTCCGCGGTCGCTGCCGGCACAGGAATGGGCTCGGCTGTGCAGGGACCGGAGAGCTCTGCCGTCGGGGAGATGTCGCCTGCCTTGAACGCAGGCCCTCGTGTACTTTCAGGTGTCCCGCTGCATGGAGGCTTCCCTGCAGGGGTCGGCACACAGTGTGCGCTCACCCGGGCGAGGGGCTTCATACATGCCCAGCACCCGGTTTGGCCCGGTCCCCCAGCCCACGTATTCGCGTTGAGTCCAGCACCTGCAATCCTCCCTTTCGGTGGAGAAGGCGTCAAGAGCGTCCCGCGTTCCACCCCTCCATTCTTCTCTGGGAGTTGCTTCCAGTGGCATCGAATGAGCACCTTCCCCAGGCACCTGCAACAGTCTCGCTATTGTCTCAAGTGCTGCTCCCATTGCTTTCCTATTTATTTTACTTTTATGGAACGGACCGGGCTAGGAGCGAGACAGGGTGGGCTGCGGCCCTGTGACATGAGATTAAAGTTGCTCTTGCTTATTAAAGGGGCACACTCTTCTTTGAAGCACCTGGTGTCTTTTCATGCAGTGCACGCCGAGCATTTGGCAGCTCCACCTTGCTTTGGCCCGTGACGTTGAAAGCCCTCTTGCCAACCATCCAAGCCTGCGCTTCAGGGCTCCCCCTGCTTGGGCGTTTCTAAGAGTAAAGGGCCATTCAGAAGCCCCCTGGAAGGACTGCATTTGTCCGGCATTACACTAGTCAAGAGCACCCCCGCCCCACGTGTCCTTCCAGGCTGATCTGTTCGCCGTGTCTTCCCATGACCCTGTGCTTGGCTGCAAAACGCTTTCTCCACTAGGTATGTGGAAACCAGCTGAGCTCAAGCCTATCACCATTTCTCCAAGTTCCGACTCAGACCCAACTTTTGTCTGTGTCATTTTCCCCCCTGTTACAGGAAAATGGTGGCGTACTCAAATAGGTAGCTGGGTGTGTGTCCAGTTATTAAAGCACAAAGCACATGCTTTTCTTAAGCACACAAATTTTCTGGCACATTTTTTCCGGCACGTGCCTTTCTGGAACACCCTTTCCCCCCTGCAAGCAGCATCACAGGCTCATACAAGAAATACAAGTAGGAGCATGGAGGGCAGATAAACTCCAATCAAAAACTGGAAAGAGTTTCTCAAACACCCACTCCTTTCTCCCCATTGCTTTCTTGATTCCGCTTGCCTGCTGAAGTCCAGGAGGGGTTTCTCTTAAGCGCAGGCAACTGCCTGCTTGCTGTCCTCTTCCCACCTATACACCCGATTTGGTCTCCTATCAGTCAATACCTCCTTCCACATTCCAAGAGTCCCAAGGGTAGCTTGCTTGTGAGGTTGGTTTTGATACCGGGGGTGCTGCTGGGAAGGGTGGGAGAGAAGCTGGGCGTTCTTCAACAGCTCTGATCTTCATCCAAGGCAGAGGAGCCTTCACAAGCCTCAGAAGTTCACGTTCGGGCTTAAAAACTTAAAAAGTGGCTGTCTGCATGTATAAGGCCTGGAGTTCTTAAAACTGTGCTAAGCCAAGCTCATTGGAATCTCAGACTCCAGTGCCAGCTCAACGCATGATGGTCTGTTACTTCACTCTAGAATATGCCCTCCTTCCTTTCCTAGAACTGTTATCTTCTCATTTAATTTGAACCATGGGAACATCCAGTGAATTCTGTCTTCATCTCTCTTGCTCCCTGGCTCCATGGACGGAGATGAGATTCCTCTCCCCAGTCCCACCCTGAGCAAAATACCGTTTCTTGTGACCTTTAGATAAGGAAAGAAGGCATCCCTAGTAACACATGGGCCCCTTTTAAATACACCGGAAAGGTAATCTGTATTAGCCGTCTGCATGCAGTCCCATAAAAGCGATAGTAAAATGTATTTTTAGATAAATATTTGATAGAAATAGCTTTGACACAAAAGGCAGTAGGCGCTGAATTGCTTTCTTTTTTTGGCTCATTTTCTGGTTAGTAAAACAGGACTATGCTTTTTGAATAATGCAACAAATACCAAATTGATAGCACCAGATAACATCTGTATTGCCTTGAAATTATGAGCATCCAGTGCAGGGATATTTGCATCGTGAAGCTCCCTTAAACGGAAGCAACAACCTCCATGCGAACACGGAGTGGAAAATAAGTCTCCAGTCCCACAGCCATCGCGAACGTGGATTTCAGTTGTGATTTTGCCTTCTTGCTGCTGCAACATGAGATTAGTATCATCTTGATACTGTTCTGTCCATTTGATAACATTTACGATGAGCCAGTTTATTTTCCCCGCTGTTTTGTTACCCATGTTTCATAAAGCTATTTATGAAAACATCAGCACCCAGAATTTGCAATGCTCACAACGCTTCGGTTGCCGCTTCAATTCTTGCCATTGGGCAAGGATACATCACTGCTGAGAAAGGGCCGCGAGAGAATGCAACCGTTCTTGTTCTTGTAAACGAAGAAAATACGGCTCTGGGTGTGGGTGCGTTACACTGGGCATTGTTCTGCTTAATATTTTGTGAGATTGTGGCCATTAATTCCATAGCTGGTGCGGCTATTAACCCAAACCCAGATAGCTGCGCACTTATTAAGGTCCAGCGTCAGCGCTTATAATGCGGACGTCTCCGGATAAGGAGGAAGCAGTGTAAGATTGAGCAAGAAACATGACGAGGTGCCGTCGCTCGTTGTGTGATCTAATTGAGCCATGTATCTGGCTGCTAATGGCGTTACGGGCCCATTGATTGATACGCTGCAGACTGAGGTTGTTTCTTCAGTGACTTAATTCCTACTGCAATGAAGCTCCTATTCGGAAGGAGCAATTATTGGGTTTTCTTGTATGAAACGCATTTGCAGGGGCCGCTTGGTTTCCAAATAAATAGGCTGGCTATCGGAGAGGTGTGGGGAAGGGTGGCTAATTATGTAAATGGATTAGGCCAATGATGTTTTATTCCTGGATGCTCTCTTGTTCTGCTATATTGGGCTTCTCCTATAAATATAGGATGATATAGTGTGGTATTGACCACCTCTTCATCTTGTTGCGTATTGTACTTCCCTGTTTCAACAGGAAGACTGTACTTGGAAAGCATATTCCCCTAACATTTTGGCACATTGGGGGCCTTCCAGAAAGAGCAACTCAATGAAAAGGGACAGCTCTGCTTTTCATAACAGCATGGCAAGGAAAAATCTCGCCCTTCTTCCTTTGATGTTGTCATTCAGTTATATTTATATCTGATTTTAATTAAAGAAAGAAATCAGCTTTTAATTCTCTTCCAAGCCAACAGATGGGACCCTGTGCTTGTGTACATATATGCCCCCACCCCCTGAGATCGGTGTGGGAGGCCCTTCTCCGGGAGCCCTCTGTGAGGGATATTAGGAGGGTGAGTACCCAGAGGAGGGCCTTCTCTGTGGTGGCACCCCACCTATGGAATGCGCTCCCCAGAGAGGTCCGCCTGGTGCTGTCGTTATTTGTTTTTCGGCGCCAGACCAAGACCTTTTTATTTAAATGATATTTTAATTGTTAATCTGCATTTTATTTAATGGTTTAATGGTTTTATATTATCGCCGAGAACTCCACATTTTTAATATTGTTCTATGCTTTGTTTATTTATTTTCCTTGTGAGCCACCCCGAGGCTTCGGTGATGGGTGCGGCATAGAAATGTTATAAATAAATAAATGCACATTTCATTTCCAAAGTTGTGGGGCCACTGCAGAAAAGGCCCCCTCCCGGGTACTCAATAGTCCCGCAGCCGTTACTGATCCACCAAGGGAACAAGGCCTCAGAGGCTGATCTTCCAGTTCAGGCAGGCTGGTTCAGATGTAAGCATACCTTTAGAAAAGGTTTTGATGTTTTAAGGCCTTATTGGCTGATGCTGGCCCTGAAATTGAGCCTGGAAATGAACAGGCAGCCAATCCGGTTACTTTGGAATCTGGTGGTTACTTCCAGACTAGCATTGAGGGCAACGCCACCTGAATCCTGTGACACTGATCAAACCTGAATCTTGTCAGGGCATACGACAAGGTTCTTTGGAGAAGGTCACAACTGACAAACCACCCATAACTGCTGAAAAGCCCTCCTGGCCACTGAAGCATCATTTTAAGGCTTGACTATGATTTTAATTGTGGGCTTTTAGTGTATAAAAAATTACTTGGATGCTGTGCTCTATTTTGCTTCCGTAAGACCATCCCGAGACCCCAGTATAAACGTTTTAAATAAATAAATAAATAAATAAATAAATAAAATAAACCACACCTTTATCCCCCCACAAAAAGGTTTCAGGGCAGTGTACAGAAAAGCCCTAAAAACAATACAGTGCAATACAAACATTCTAAAATCTGAATTTCACCCAGAGAGCTTCGGCTGTTGGGCAGGACAGAAATGGGCATAAAAGAAATATAAGTAAGTACGGTAAGGTACAAAACTATTTCAAGCTGCTAAAAAGACGCACACTTACGTCTCACACTGCATGAAGAATGAAACTGTCCGAGCACATAGAACTGTTTCCTCCTGCCGTCAAAAAGAGTGCAGGTCTGTGGCTCAGGAGGGCGTTCCAGAGTCAGGGCGCCACCACCAAGTAGCCCTCTCTTTGCCTGATGCTAAACGGTCTTCTCTTACAGATGGTGTTCGGAGGAAAGCATCCACTTTTAATGCCCAGGCAGGCTGATCCGGGTGCAGGGTTAGGCTCTCCTTCGGCCATTGAGCATAAAATCCAGCGTGCTTTATGCTCAATAAAGTTTACTGAGCATGTGCACAAACTCCAGGCTGCAGAAGGAGCAGAAGTGGCCCTCCTTAGCCAATTCCTTCGAGGGGCGCAGGGCAGATCTCGGAGTCTCACTTTCAAACAGAGCATGCAAATCAATTGGCCTGGGGGATAATTGGGCTCAAGAAAACGTGATTGGACCCAGGGAGGGTCTTTTTAGCACAGGGGTCCTCAAGCCACGGCCCGTGGGACGGATCCGGCCCGCCACGGCCATCCACCCAGCCTGCGCCGCCATTCGCCGCCCGCGCGCCCGCTCGCTGCGTGGGTGGGGAGGCGGTGGCTTGCTCGCTCGGAGATGGTTTTGGACTCGCTGGGAGATCTCCGAGCGCGCGAGCCACTGCTGTGTGCGCCCAGTGCTGCCTCGCCTGCGCCCGACGGCACCCCCACCTCACCGGCCCACAGCGGTCACCGCAGCCTTTCCACTGGCCCCCTATTGAAAAAGTCTGAGGACCGCTGCTTTAGAGAGAGAGAGAGAGAGAGAGAGAGAGAGAGAGAGAGAGAGAGCGCATTACAGCCTCCTGTGACTGCACCAGTATAGACCAGAAGGGCGCTAGTTGCATCCTTGACCCTTTCCCTCCACATCAGGGAAAGAAGGGCGCCTTCACACAGCACGTACTTGCACCATGGAATTCACTGCCACGGGAAGCAGTGATGCCGAGCCAGTCGGTTTGGGTGGCTTTAAAAGGGGGCTGGGCACATTCAGTGGGGGGCTGTCAAAGGCCCTTCGTCTTGCTGTGGGGCGCAGGAGCAGAGTCAGGTACAGAGGCCGTTGCCCGCACACACCAGCTGCTGCTGCCGGGCCTGAGCAGGGGAAGCCGTTGCCTTTACCCTGCTTGCGGGGTCGTGCGGGCAGCCAGGTGGCCACGGTCTGGATGGAGCGCTGCCCTGCACGAACTGCTGGTCTGATCCTGCATGGTTTCTCTTACATTCATAAAATAAAGCATGCCTGTTCATAGAAAGCTGGCTCTCCAGGAAAGTTGGACTTCTCGCCCTGGACAAACTGGCTTTCCGCCTGCCTTCTGGAGTAGCCTGTGACCGGGAGAAGAGTTGCTCTGTTTTCCCGGAGGTGAAGGCCAGCTCTTGGTTCTGTTTGGCCCACGATTAAAGGCAATGTGGTTCCATAAGCGGAGGGCTCAGGTTTCCACTTTAGATGGCAGGGAAAGATGGATATGTCCGAATAGCCATTTCACCCTCGGAAAGGCGTTGGAATCACTAGCCTGGTCAACTCTGATGGAGGCAGACGTAGCACTGGGCCGTGCTGAATCGTTCATTTGTGTCTGGTAAAAGCCAGAATAAATTGAAGGAGCAGCTCTGTGGGCACTTTTCTTTCGCAGCAACTGACTTCATTGCTCAGTTCTTTTCCCAGCTAAACATCACACTCCTAAATCCTCTCTCCCCGATCATCATCTTTTTAACTCGCTGTGGTGTCATCTGTGGAATGACCCACAAAAAGGAATTTGACAATCTCCTCTCTGCATAACCATGATAGTAAACATTTTAATCAGTGGAAGGATTAAAGGGTGCTGACTGGTCAATTTCCATCTCCTGCGGCTCACACGATCAGACGTTTTAGCCGGGTGGCATGCTTGGCCCTTCTTGGCAGAGAACGCGGACAAAGAGAAGGGCTTCCTGCAGGATCAGATCGGAGGAGGCTCAGGGGCAGATCCTTTCCGAGGATCTATAAAGTGGCTTTTCAGCCGACAGGCGTCGTGATTGCAGGCTTCCATCAGTGCGGCCAGCCTGATCTCTATCGACTTTGTTGCTACTGCTGGGGAAAAAGCGGCTCTGCAACACACGGCGCTCCTTCTGGGCGTCCCCTTTCGCCATCGCTTTGCAAATCAAAACAATGTAAGAGGCTTCTTCAGAAAGTTTCCACACCTTTTAAACTATGTTTAGAATTCAAAAAACAAATTACATCGCTTTTCTACAGAGCCACCTTCCTTTGTGATGCATTTTTCCCAGTGTCGTACCAATATTCAATGCCATCAGCAAAATATATGAAATACAGTGGTACCTTGGCTCACACACTTAATCCGTTCCAGGACTCTGGTCGTGACCCAAATTGGTTGTGAGCCAAGTCAAAGTTCCCCATAAGGGTCGATGTAAATAAGGTTAATCCGTTTTGTAACAATTTTTTAAAATCACAAACATTTGAAGCAAAAGACAAAGAGCGACATAGATTGTGACAGGCATGAGCACGAGCGTGGCCATCTCCCCCCGCCCCCCCCCCACCAGCACAACCGCGATTGCACAAATTGTCCCTGCACGGGCGCTATTGAGGGTGCACTCGGGGCGGAGGAGACAGGCACGATTGTGCTGCGGGGGGGGGGGGGGGGGAGATGGCCGAGATTGTGGTTGCGTTCATGCAGGAAAGACGGGTGCGATCTCGGCCAACCCCGCCCCCCCCCACACGATTGCAGCCATCTCCCCACCCCCAAGCAAAACCATGATCGCGCCTGTCTTCCCTGCACGAGCGCGACTGCAATCATGGTTCTCTCTCCCCTGGGGGGGGGGGAGTGGGGAGATGGCCCCGATCGCGGTCGCCACCCAATGTGGAGTTCGCGACCTGAGTCAAATTTTTTATGAAATTTTTGTTCACGACCCGCTTTGGTCATGAACTGAGGCGTTCATGAGCCAAGGTACCACTGTACATGTATAAAATATAAACGCGTGGAAACTTTTTGAAGACCTCTCGTATTTAAAGGTGACTTTTGAGCAAATGTGGCTAATAAGACCTACATTGCCACATTTGGGGTAGCTAAGGTCTGGTTTGTGGGGCAGTTCAGGAATTGCAGGTCGAGTCACTTTGCCTGGAATCTGCAGCAACCGCATCCCTCAAGCAGCCACGCTCTCGCCTCTGATGTTGGGGGGAACACAGGGAGAGGAGTGGCTCGTGGCAGATGCTGCTGCAGGAGCCTGTGTCCCCCCAGGTGCCTTCCCCCGCCGTCAGCAAGCCCCTGGGGCCGGGCCGTCTCACTGGCTCCTGAGACGTGGCGCTGGATTAGAAAGACCCCAGGCGCAGCGCAGCGGGGCAGCTCCCCTGTCCGAGGTCAGATGCCTGTCCAGCCACCACGGCTGCAGTCACAGAAGCAGGGAGACCCTCTGTGTGCATGGAACCATCGAACAGCCACGCTGGAAGGGGCCAGCCTTGCTGCCCTTTGCTTTACTGCCAAAGACCACGGCCTCTCTCAGGCCCGGGGGGTCGCTGGCTGATTGGGAACCTCCTGCCGCTCCCTTGCAGGTGTCAAGAGGAGTGCCCCGCCGGGACATTCGGCCTCCAGTGCAAGCAGAGGTGCGACTGCGAGAACCGGGCCAGGTGCTACCACGTGAACGGGGCCTGCCTGTGCGACCCCGGCTTTAAGGGGATCCATTGCCAAGAACGGATGTGCCCCGAGGGCTATTACGGCCTGACGTGCAGCAAAAGGTGTCCTTGCCACGCTCCAAACACCGCCAGGTATGTGCATCGCGCTTTTCTGTGGCCGGGAGAGGAATGGCCGTGTCGGGGAGGTTTTCTCCGGGAGATGCGCAAAGCGGGATGTGGGGAGAGCCAGTCCCCACTCGCTTGCCTCCAGGGATCCAAGGGCCCTCTCAGTCCTGGCGCGAGTCGCCGCGTGCCGTGGCAGAGACCGTGCCTGACCTGAGCAGCGGGCGGGAGAACGTGGGAAGAGCGCATCTCCCTGCCATCGATTCTGGGCAGCAGGAGGAGGATGCGTCGAAATGCTTTGGACCAGGACTGAGAACCTGTTTGCCTCTGCCTTCTCTCAGACATGACCTGTTAGGAGCCCCGTGCCCGCAAGCGACAGGTCCATACTTTCCTCTCATTTATTGGCACTTCCTGCTCTCCATCCTGCCTGCCCGGTCTCTCTTCCTGACACCTCCGTTCTATCCCGTTTCTTTCTGGCTGCGTGACGTTTCAGCAGGATCCAACTGTCTCAGCCATGGGCCCCGTTGGCCTTTGTCCTCTTCGGCCTTTTCCTCTTTGCTTCTCATGTCAGGTTTGTAGCATAAAATGAGGGTGTGCAGCTGCTGAGCAGCACACGTCCATCCCATTGCTCCATGGCCGTGGAATTTCAGCAGAGCCGTTGATTTCTGCAGAGATACGGAAAGCCTCTCTTGCTGAAAGGTTTTTTTGAAATACGAAGTGCAGTAGCAAAACGCACCCTGTGCATCCAAAGGCTCCCAGGTTTGATCCCTGGAACCTCCAGTTCAGAAGGATCCGTTTGACAATGTGCGATTCTCTGCTACTCAGAGAAGGCAGAGCAGGTCGATGGGGCCCATCTTTGTGTGTCCAGGCAGTCTCTCTCTCTCTTTCCCCCCGCCACCCCCCTGCAACACGTCACGGTTTTTCATTGCCTTGGACTTGTGCAGCATTACTGGAAACAAGATTTATTGGCCCTTTTCTGGTATTTAACTACATTACAAGTTTATACCTTTAACCAAGAGGCAAACACGTAGAAATAGAAGCATGGGGTGACAGAGGAACTATTTAGGTTGCCCAGTTTCTTAATTTTAACCCCCTCCTCTCACAGATACATAAGCAGGATTGATGATGGACCGCATTTCTCCAATAGATAGATAGATTGTGGGGGGATAATTGAGTCTTCAGCTAATGTATCCTTCAGTCATTTCTAAAATGTGGAACAAAACGGGTAGGAACCTGCCTGCCTTGGGGAGGAAGAGGAACATGTGGCAGAAGCGGTGTGGTGCACCTGTGAAGACCTGGGAACCAGGGAGACTCTGTCAAATCCAGTCCCTGCCACAAAGGCGTCATCGAGCCAGATCTAAAGCTGATTGTAGGGACAAGGCCCCCTGCTCCTGTAAAACAGCCTTCCAAGGATTTTAACTCAGGTTCTGACTCAGAAGTGGAGGAGGGGAAAGACTGGGATTCCAAGCCGGCGTATTAAGGCAGCTCTTGCTGGCAGTCAAGCAGTGGGAAGGTCTGCTTGGGGCAGCTGATGCAGAAGGGGAGGATCCAACTTCGTTAGTCCAATCGGACAGCATTACATCAAGAGGATTTGCCAGTTGAGAAGCCACAGACGTTCCACGTGATTACGTCCTAAGTGGCATGATGCGCCTTGTTTTCGGAAAGGTGCAGATAAACTGGGGAAGCGTGAGAGGGCAACCAAACTGGTCAGGGCACTAGAAACAAAGCTGGAAGAATCGGGCATATTTAGCATTGACATGAGGAGACTGAGGAGAGCTCTGACAGCGTTCTCCAAAAACCTGAAAGGCTGTCACACGGAGGAGTACCAGGGTCTCTTCGCAGCCATCCCAGAGTGCAGGGCACGGAATGACGGGCTCAAGTTCCAAGAAGCCGGGTTCTGGCCTAACATCAGGAAAAGCTTCCTGACTGTTAGAGCAATGCAATAATGGGACCATTGTCCTAGGGAGGGGCTGGGCTCTGCCACACTGGTGGCCCCAAGATGAGCATTGGTGGAAGATGCAGCAGTAATTTAAGATACGCAGTTCATACCATAATACTGGCAGAAAGCAGCAATGAATTGAAACAATCCCTGATGAAAGTGACAGTTGAAAAGCAATGTTCAGTTGTGACTGAACATTAAGAAAGAAGAATTAAATGACTGTAAGGTCAACAACGAAGGAACTGAAATTGTGGGAGATTTTGCTTCCCTCGGTGCAATCATCAGTTCAAACACAGTCTGCAGCCAAGAAATTCGAAATGACGGAGACTTGGAAGGGCAGCAGTGAAGAAGCTAGAAAAGATCATCAAGCGTAAGGATGTTTTGTGGAGTCTGGGGCCAAGATTACTCACACAATTGGATTTCCAATTACTGTGCATGGGGGTGAAAGCTGGGCAAGGAGGAAGGCAGGCAGGAAGAAAACAGATGAGCCTGAACCATGGTCATATCTCTGGCACATCAGACAAGGGAGGCCTCCCTGGAGAAGCCACTCATGCTGGGCAAGCTGAAGGCAGAAGAAGGAAAGGAAGACCAGCTGAGATGGAGGGACTCCACAGAGAAGCCCCAGCTTCGCATTTGGAAGGGCCGAGCGTACTTTGGAGAGCTTTCGTTCGTAGGGTTGACATATGTCAGAAACATCGTGATGGCACAGAACAGCAAAACTTAATATTATTTCAGTATTGCCACGTGAATTACTTAAGACTCAGTGCACTGAGCACAGACGCGCACGTGCGCACAAAAGTGTGTGGGAGGCCCACGGGATGCGCTAGGCAACTTGTCCTCCATTTAATGCTGCAGTTTGCAGGGAAAGGTGCCATCCGGACGCGTCCTGCATTGATGCGGGCCGACGTTGTCCAGGCAATTTGATGGGGTAAACATCCCTCTTAACGTTCAGTCTCCCAGTAGGATTCTTTTGTCTTGCATTTCTGGTCCAGGAAGGTTTCTATTCACTGCCAGCTTTCTTTTCCCCCCCTCTCTGTTTGTACTCTGCTGTCTTGCCTTGAAGCATTCTTGTGTCCGGATGGTATCTGCTCCTCTTAATAAATGAATCTAGTCTCTCAGCTGATAAAATCTGTCATTCCACTCAGTCTTATCTCAGTCACGTGGAACAGGAGAGATAGTGGCAGGCGGAGATCCATAGATGTTCTTTTCATCCTCTGCACTGGTGTTTCAGCTTTTGACTTTCCAGGGAATTCTTCCGAAGTCCATCAAAGTTCCAAGACAAAAGGGCACCTGAGCTGAGAGGCAGTTGACCTTCTCTAAAGACACCCGTTCGATTGCTAGAATTTGGCTAACAGTAGCATTTGTGCCAAAGCAGACCAACTGTGAGTTAGGGTCACATCCAGAGTAGGCAAAAAGAGGGAACCCAGGACCTGCAGGCAGGGGTGTGCTGGGCTCCGCAGCCTTCCTGCCGTACCAGCACTGGCCATTTCGCTGGCGTTTGATGTGGGGGTGGTGCAAAGCATGCGTGGTGTTCAGCAAGCCGGGCAGGAAAACACCAGCAGCAGTGTTCTTGCAAAGTGATTTTGCTCAGAAGAAAATGAGGAATAGATTAAGGAGATGCGAGATAAGAGAAAATATCCAAAGGTGTAGAATAGACTTTCAATGTGAGGCGGTGTGGTGTGAGAGGGACCTTTCCGTTTTCCGAAATACATCATGCTTCTTTTCAGTCTAATTTCCTTGTAGTTTACCCCTCCTGTAGTCTTTATTTTGGCAGTTCAATCTTTTACCATTCATTAAGTGCCTGCATTTCATAAGAGGATTTTCAAAAGAAATGCTTTTTTTTTATCCTGACTCCACCTTGCAGTAGGAATTGCATGCCTAGCTGTAACGTTTTTCAATTGAATGGTAACAAACCGATTCAGATTGCTGGGAATATTACTTTTGAAAGATTTAATTTAGCTATTTGATGCAAAGCTAGTTGAAAATGTACACTTGTGCGCACTAAGAGGAAAAATGCAAAATGAGGCAAACCAGACTGTTTAGATTTCTGTTCCCATTACAGGAAGATTAATAGAGATGGGGTGAAGGAGGTCCAACTTTTTATTACTTTTCATTGAAAACTTCAGAGAAGTGAACCAAGCAACACAGAGTTTTGAGGAACACTTTTCCAAGAGGAAACCTGGTGTTTGATTGGAGGCTTTTATGTGGGCTTTTTCTTTTTCTTATTGAGCTGATGAACTGTTTTAATTAGTTACTAGACTATTTGGAAGAAGCACGTGGCAGCTACAAAACCTGGTAATTTCAGTCACTACATCATGTGCTAATTTCTTCTGCTGGTCACAAAACAATGGGAGAAAAAACAAGGCAGTCGTGCCAGTCATGGTAATGTTTTCCTGAGGATGCAGCACGTACTTTCACATTACAATTTCAAAGGAAGCTGCTCCTGCGTGGGCATTCCTTGGATAAACCTTTCTCTACGTATCTTTGGAAGGGATACGTACACAATGCCAGGGTCAAACAACAGGGGGGGAAATCAGGCTGAGGAGCAGGTCGGGGCGCATCACAGGAGGACTCCTGGCCAAGGAGTGAACCCAGGAGTCGGCGCCAAAGAGCAAACCGCAGTACGCCCACGGTGGACTGGCCGCGAAAAGGCCTAGCCCACTAAGGAAGCCTTTCAGAGCTCTTGCTGTCTAGGAGAGTTCAGCGGCAACACGGCTGAATGGAGGTAATCTAGAATAGCTTCTCCAACCAGGTGGCCTTCAGGGGCATTTGGACCTCAGTTCCCAGAATTCCCATCCAGCAGGGCTGTTGATTGGGAATTCTGGGTGTTGCAGTCCAGACGTGCAGAAGGCACAAGGTTGGGGAGGGCTGATCTAGAACAGGGGGGCATTTCACTCTCCAGGGGGGTGCTTTGGACTTAGGCGTGGCTTCCATATCAAGAGAGATGCTGGTGCCACTCTACAAGACTCCGGTGTGCCCACGACTGGAGTGCTGTGTCCAATTCTGGGCTCTACATTGCAGAGGGTCATAGCAAGGTTAGAAGCAGTTCAGGGCAGGGTCACAAGGATGGTAGCTGGATTGGGGGAGTGCCACGTGAAATGAGATTGAGGGTGCTGAGACGTTTCAGCTTGGAGAAGAGGATACTCCAAGGGGATCTTACAGGTTTGTGAAGGGGTGTCACAGGATAGAGGGTCATGACCTGTTCTCCCCTGTGGTGGAGGGAAGGACACGATCCAGTGGGGCGAAGCTAAAGGTTGGATGTCAGGAAGTACTTCCTGATGGTTAGGATGGTGAGGACCCCTCAGATATGGAAGGGGCTTCCACAGGAGGTGGTGGAGGCTCCATCAGTGAGGGCTTCCGGTGAAAGATTGGACACTCACATGTTGGACATCATATGTTGAGTGGAGCCACCTTGTACCAGCTGTCAGACTAGGTGGCCCAGGAGGCCCCTTCTGACTTGCTCTGTTTCTGTTTCCTGGCATCTAATTCCATGTGGCAACCAAGCTCAGCTGCAAACTCCCAGTTCTGAATCCAGTGGCTCCCGACAGAAGAGTAATGGGTTGGCTGTGCCCAGTTTACTCTCTTTTCTGGACCCGCTGGATGACCACCGTATGGCCCCATTTCCTTCCCATCCCTCTCTTCCTGTGTGTCTCACCCTCCTCTCTGCTGCCTTTGGGCTTTCTGCCTAGTCTTTCCAGCCCTCTGCCTTCCCACCTACCTGGCCCAAAGGTCCCTTTCCCTCCCTTTCCAGCCAACAGAGTCCTCCTTACTCAGAGGCCCTGGGCGAAGTTTTGCCCAGGGAAAGTGGCTCTTCACATCCTCATCAGCACTGTGCCTGTAGCAAATTCCCCTTGCTCAGCTGAAATGTTTGTGAATATTCCGTGGCATCAGACTAGCTCGGCCGCTCGCCGTTTGAGAGTGGAAGAAAGGGCTGACACTTGGTGTAGGTTCAACACAACAGTTTGTCTTCTGAAATGCCATTGCTGAATAAACAAAAATGCCTTCTTATGTTGCCCCTTTTTCTCAATTAATCTCTGGCACTCTTTTCATCAGCTGCCATCCCCTGTCCGGAGAATGCAGCTGCAAAGCCGGCTGGGCGGGACTGCACTGCAGTGAGACCTGTCCTCCGGGGTACCACGGCGAGCGCTGCCAGCTCCCTTGCTCCTGCCAAAACGGAGCAGAGTGCGAAAGCATCACAGGAAAATGTACCTGCAGGCCGGGATACATGGTAAGCCGCGCCCCCTCTCCCTTGCTGCAGGATTTTACGCACCTGCCAGGTTCACGCTTTCACTAGCAAAGGGTTGGTGTTCTTTACTCTAAATGAGCTTTCATAGTTCAGAAGTGGACTCTCCAGGACTGAATTAGAGAGATGCACTTCAGAGATTTCTGATCAGAACTATAGATCATTGGATTTTGTTGGTGTGATCATTCGTTCATTCGTGCGCTCGCTCTCTCTCTCTCTCTCTCTCTCTCTCGGCTGAAATTTCCGCCTGAGCATGAATGGGTGGAGGGCCATGATATTCTTGAGGCCAAACTGGACCAAAGCAGGAGAAACCACATTTGTGCTTTCATGTCTTTTGTTTTGTTCTGCTTTGTTTTAAGCAAAGAGTCATTTTATTAAAATATTTCATTATCAAAGTAACAATAGAAATAGAGCAGAGTTATAACCAAAATTAGAACAGAACCTCAAAAGCTCTGAAAAGCAGATACTTGGCCTTTTTGGGAACACACGGGGGCACCTGGCGACTGCGGCACGTGCCTTTGCTACAGCCTTGAGCCTCGGATCGCTCAACATCCGACCTCTGGTTCTTTAGCTGTACGTCAAACAGCAGCAAGACAGAGGGAAACGGGAAACGGGGAGTGAGAAGGAGGCGATGGGGGTGGAGAACGCCTGGGCTTGCCAGCTGGGCCCGTGGTCCGACCGCCAAGGCGCAGCACTGGCTGTTGTGGTGGCGGCGATGTTGTTGTCAACGTGTTCCGGGCAACATGTTCCTGTGATTGACTTTGTGTAAACGGCTCAGGGTGGCCAGCCAAGGTTTCCCACTTGCCCCGTGCTCTGCAAGGGGGAGAGCAGCTTTCGGAAGCACGTGAAGGGGCCCGGGAACCAGCTCCAGGAAGGCGCTGAACTGTCCCGCACCACATCCTCCCTGGGGTGGGCGATTTCAGTGAGCTTGGCCCCACCTGCTGACATCACCGTCCCACCTGTCTCCATGCTGGAAGAGGCCCGGGCGCCATGTGGCTCCCGATGCTGCGGATGTGACTCCGGTGATGCACAGAAGAGCTGCTGATCCTCGCAGTGCCCAGAGTCCCCAGTCCCGAGAGGCACGTGGTGGTCCCTGCGCTGTGCGAAGGGACTCGGCCGGCGCAGAGGAGACCGAGAGCGCTCCTGCCTGTTCTCCCACCTCCCTTCCGGGAGCCCCGACGTCAGCGGGGCGAAGCAAGCAGTGGGGCCCCTCCGGGAAGCCTCCATAGTCCGGCCGGGGGACCTCCATGGGCCAGAGGCGCCCTCCGTCCCCACGCTGCAGCGCTGGCACGGACTGCAGTGTGTCGGGTGCAGGCCTGCGTGTACCCAGTCCAGGGTGCCACGAGTCAGAACTGCACAAAAGCTGAAATGGGCATCCGGAGACCGTGCCTCGCAGGAGGCTGCTCCCTTGGCTTGACATCTTCCCAAAAGCGACGGACAGCTTTTCTGCCCCGGTACCTACTGGGTGCAGCTTCTGATCCTTCACATCTCCAGTGCGTGGGACAACCACAGACCCTTAATCCGGCCAGCAGGGAAGGGGGCTGCTTTTCCTTCCATACCTGTCTGATCTCTGCTCATACCCGCTCTGTGTGTAGGAGCGAGGTCAAAGGAGCCCGGCAGCCCTCCTTTCCAGCTGCCTGACCTCCCTCGGCTTCAGGGACGTTGCTCCCTGCTTGGTGCACTGCCAGCACTGAGTTGTCTCTGAGCAGGTAGGCAGAGGCGAGGTGGCGTTTGGGTCCCAAGCTCTGAGGCCTTTTCTTCGTGCCTCCTCTTCCGCTATCAGTATTAGCACACATGCACTTTCCTTCTCTGTTTTTTTTTCAATAATAAGTTTTATTCAAAATAACCCTAAAACAAAAGAAAATTAAAAACAACATCAATCCTCAGAAACATTGGACCTGCTGGGTCAGCCCCTACATTTTTTTTTCTATTTATGGTAACTTAAAAACATATTTAAATCTATCCAAAGTCCCATTTCTCTAGCCAATAATAAAAAGAGTCCCAAGTTTGATAGAATTTTCTTTGGATAGATATCAGCCTTCCTTAAGCTACTGCCTTCCAGAAATGTTGGACTACAACTCCCATACCAAACATGTGATCACTTCTAGCACATCCGCCTTGTGCCTCAAATATTTTCAGGTTCCAGTGGAACATTGTCTCACCCCGTGGAATTTGCTGCAGGTGATGGTGTCCAGGGCTGTGTGGCTGCGGCCTCTTCTCATGTTGATCCGCTCGTAACAAAAATATTAGCCTGTTGTTGGAAGCAACATTCCTGAAAAGGTTGATTAGGTTCTTCAAGCCCATTTTGAAAATAACATTTCATCTCCCGCTAAAGAGGCTTCTCTGCACTGACATTTAAACAGCTTGGTTATGGAAGATAGCACCATAATCACTGAAGCATATTTCGGCATTACTATCATTTGCACTCTCATAATATACAATAATCTCTGGCAATTAGTCCAGGAGGAGTTGTTAAGCCTGGGAATTGTTAATTTATTGTGGTGGAAGTGTGTTTGTCATGCACAGGATGAGTTGTCCCCGAGTTGTTATCTCTCCGAGAGTGGTTGCACAGTCGGAACTGCCGGCTCCCAGTTCCAGGCATCTGGGGAGGTCCCAGCATGGGTCAGGGCAGGGACCAGGGCTGAGAGGACCTCAGGGCCGGCTGCCTCATGCTGACAGCACCCGTGGCCCGCCTGGCTCTGCATTCTCCCAGCCCAAACCGGAGATCCTGGGGATCGACGCTCAGGCAGAGCTGGTGCCCTTCCACAGAACTGCGGACTAGACAGTCCACCCAGAGTCCCCTGCCCAAGGCCATCCCCCAGGGAGCTGGCGGGGTTGGGGAGCCTTAATGCACCCCAAGCACACTGAGCTCCTGACGCTGGACCTCCGGGCATCCTCAGCCCAGGTCCAGACCGCGCAGCGCTGGCTGGGCAGCAAAAGGACTGCCAGACGCCTGTGGTCACTCCCACCGCCAGCAGCATAACCTGAATCTCTGCTGTGAATATCACACGAGCACCAAAGCTTGGGCTGGCCGTTGCGTGAAGCCGAGTCTGGTTCCAGCCCATTGCTGCAGCGCTCCAAACGGCGTCATAGGTCCCATTGACTGCGATGGAATTTGTGTCCGAACGAGCATGTTTAAGATCACATCCTCGGTGTTCAAACTGAAGTGCAAAGGATTAAATGTGGGTTATGGATCGGAGACTTGTTGAAAGAGCTTCCAGGCTGCGCCTTCACGAGCCCTGGCATAGCAGAATCCTGCTTTCCATGCAGCTCTTGCACTTGAAACGCCCCACCGAATTCTGTGACTCTCCAGCCCCACTGAATTGCCTTTTTCTCTAGAGTTGGAATGCCTCCTCTAATTATGGTAGATATTTATCCAGGACGCCAGATAATTATGGTGCATATTTGTCCAGGAGTCTACTCACATCCGAGCAACCGTGTCATTAGACCTGTCAAAGAATGAAAGAGGGATTAAAAATATAACCAGGTGCTACGCTGCGGACCTGATGTGAAAGGAAAACTTGCTTGGCATCTGCAGCCGTTCCTTTAAAGAGGATAAGAGGAGGATGCCAGAGTGGAAATGAAGAGGGCAGAGGCTCCTCCGAGCATCTCCAGTGACTGTGCAAGGTGATTGCCCTAATCTGGAGGAACTGCATTGTGTTGCCCTTGCGTTGCCAGCCCAAGCAGGCTGATTGTGAGTGGCACCCAGAGGAAGGGGCTGGGCAGGAATTGCTAACTCTTTTTTCAGGAGGCTTCCTTTGAAATGCAGTCACGCACTTGCACAGGAGTGGGTTTGGAAAGTAAAAAGCGATTATCCTGCCTTGTTAAACAACAGAGCAAAACAGCCGTGCAAGCTCCTCTTTACTTTCTTGGCCAGAGTGTTTAGGAGGAAGAACATTCACTAAATGCACATGGATGCCTCTTCCTCTAGGATATCCACGGTCCCGTCTCCAATCACTTTGTATTCCTCCTTGTCCCGAAGCTGAGCTTAGTGACGAAAGGTCAGGAAGTTCAGGTGCTTGCTTCCTTTAATTTTGCCCTTGCCTGATAAAGTTCACGTTTATGTTGAACTGAGGTCAGAATTTACTTTCCTTATAGAATGAATTCCAATTATTTCGTATTGTGCTTTTCCAGCTCAGGACAACGGGGCCCATAATTCAGCCCTGACGCCAGAGCACTTAGATTAAGGAGAGCGGCTCCCATTCGATGGCCTGGAAATGCCGGGTCCGAGTCGCACAGGATGCTTCGGGGGCCTCGTGTCTCGGCCTCGCCTTCCCGTACCAGCCAAGTAGGAATTTCAGTGCCTGCCTGGCTTTGCAGGGATGCTTTCTGGCGATGGTCACGCCAAAGTGCTCCAAATGCTCTGCACTTTCTGGGCAGAGCAGCGGCACGGCGGGAACCCAGGTTTTCAGCTCTCCACCCTGATGGCTGTTTTCTCCTCCGGGGAGGGCCCTGGGTGCATCTGGAGAGGGTGCTGCTGGGGTACCAGATTGGGGGAGGCCATAAGACCATCCCCACCTTCGCTTCCCCCATCTCCTCCCCTCCTTTGCTCCCCCCTCATTTCATATTTCCCTGGAGTCTCTCTCCCAACTTCTGCTGCAGGTCATTTTTTTCCTGGTGCCTGTGGAGGGAAGGCGGTGGGGAGGGATTGGATTCTGAGCCACCCTTCCAAGGTCATAAGAGTTTCTGCAGAACATGGCCCAGCGTGTGGTCTGAAGGCACATACGGCATCCATCATGTTGAAGCTAAGCAGGGTTGGGCCTGGCCTGAGCCTGGAGGAGAGACTGCCTGGGAACTGTATGTTGCCACCTGGAGCCCCACAATGGGAGAAAGGGTGCAGGTTCTTTGGGTTTCCCTGCCTTGTGGAGGGAAACCCAGAGAACATGAGGATCTCTGGGATTCTCTCCGAGGGACCAGGAATTGCTCTGTAGAGGTGAATATATAGGAGTAAGTGAAGTGGGTAAGAATCTTGGTTATGACTACTT